CATATAAAACAGAAGTGTTTCTAACAAATTGCCTGTTGCAAAAAGCCACATTTTTTACATTCTGCCTTTACAGTCAATTCAACAATTCATGACTGGATTCTGTGATGACGTCCATGTTATAATAGAGACCTTTATTTAATCTCCGATGGTCGTTTAAAACTGCAAACCTTGCAGTACATCCTTAAACTGAAGAGTCTTTTTAAAAGTCCTCTAGTAATTAAGAGGCTTTTTTACTGCAGAACATTACAGTGTTATCAAGTGGATAACGACAGGAGATGTTTCATATTCATTAACCTGTCAAAAGCACATTTGCACGGTAGTAATTATGACTATTATCCTGGTGTGCAGTGTTTTGGCATGCATTAAAGATGGTTGTGTGTTATGGTAAATCTGTTGTCAGAGCATGCTCATAAATATGTTTCATGTTATTTACTACATAAAGGATGTTTTAATTACTCAATTAACCTGTGATTAAACTGAATAAGCTGTCTTTTTCCCCCAACGTTGTCTTATTATTTAATTTCTTTTGGTCTTTATTTCTTTCTGCTAGCATTGGCCCGTACAGGAGCACAGCTTTCAACTTGCTGTCATGTGGAAGCAAAAGTCTGGCTTTGATCTTCAAACAGGTCTCGAGTCAGTGTGAGATGAAAGCTGAAGGATCAGACGTGCAGATACAATCCCAGAGGATGCCATGTTTGACTAGCAGCGCTAGCTTTACAACAGAGCTTCTTAAAAACAACTAGGAAAGGTGTTTAAAGGTTTTAAAATGTTTAATATGGGTAGCAACTGAAATCTGCAGGAAGGTGGCTCTCCAGGAACAGGGTTGGCCACCCCTGATATACAGTATTGTATGCATTTATTTCTGTTTCCACTGTCAGAGGTAAAGTAAACTGAACCGCACTGCTTTTTAGCACCTTTTTTAGGAGAACCTAGCACAACAGAACAGTACCAAAAGGGTGGAGCTAGACTCACTGCTTAACGCTACTAGTTTAAAAAGAAATCATCACTTGTGTGTGCAACAAAACAGTTGAATGACAACACGGGAAGTGCCATTTTTTTAAAAACTACACACCTAAAACATAACACAGTAATAATACAATGATGGTGTGGAGCAAATAACCATGCTCAAGCAAAGTTTGCCATCTTTTTATAAGAAGAAACCAGAACCGAATCTGCTGTGTGCCCTTGTTGTTTATGAGGCTGTTAAAAATGATTTTTGCTGCTTGTTTAAGCTACTTATTTCAAGAGTTCACACTTAGATATTGCTTGACAACTGTAAGCAGGTTTGGCATGCTGTCCCGGGAGAGAACCCTGAGCTCGGAGATAGTTGAGCCCAGGGCTCCCGCCAGGTCCATAGAGCAAGTGAGGGGAGTACGAGATCAGGTGGTTCTCGAGAGCTCCCCCTTTTTTTTTTTTTTTTTTTGTAAAGGAGAAAAGGAGGAGAAGGGGTGGATGGGGGGTTTCTTCGGAAAACGAAGATAAGGGAGTAATGTCTAGCTAGGCTACTTATAGTGAGTAAGGATAGATCTGATTGGCTAACTAATGAGTGTAGATAGGTGGCCAGCTGCAGTCAATTATATCACGTGCTTCTCTCGAAATTAGTTTAAAAACTTCACTTAAAATGAGTTGAAATAACACAATCCTTAGGTTTTTTGGGACAAATTAATTGTTTATTGTTTTAATCCACTTAATTAATCCACTTAAATTTGTAAAAATTATTAACCTAAATCAATCTATTAGTGTTAGGACAACATGAAGGAAGTGTGTGGAACCTGTCTAAATATGTGGAAAGCATTACATTTGAATTAAACTTTAAAGAACAGATGCGATATGTGAACAGACCTCATGACTACTTCGAGTGAAAATGACGTCATTCGCAACCTTTTAGCAACTTTCTACACCATGCCAATTAGGTAAGGGTACCATTGTGAAAGCTTGATCAGGGTGACCCATATCAAAGTATATTGCTCAGTAAAAACAAGGCATTTGAAAAATCTCAGTGACAGTTTTTAAACCTTTAATTCTGAAAATTCGAGTCTCCATCCTTTGTAAGAGAATGCAAAATAGGTTTGCAGTACGGGCATACCCACAAGCCTCTTGGGTTTCAGCTATAACCACATTGTTTGAGGGTCAAAGTAGACACAGTTTGCAGGCAGGCAGTGAAGACCATAGCCTGGCATTTTAGCAATTTTATTGCTGACCTTTGTGGATTTCTGCAGGAAGACTGGAATTACTGATGACTTCTTTTAGGAAGCTTAAGATCGATTTTTTCTTCAAGGCAATAACACCATTTATCGTGCACTTTGTAACTTCTTTTAAACAGCTTTAATACATGGAAGACAACGTCTGAAAAAGCATAATAGGAGTCTGTCTAAAATAATAATTATAAATAAAACATCCATGTCTTTTCTGTTGGCATATAATGCTTTAGTTTACGGTGTTTAGATTTTGCCATTTTTTAGGGGATTTTGCCTCAGGACATTGAACTGAGCTGGGGAAAAAAGCCATTTCCTATAATAAAGTCAAGGAAAGGCCTCTGATTCTAGTTTGATATAGCAATAACCTGGCCACATCAGAACTATAGCTCTGACATCAAACAATCAGATTTGTTAGAGTCTGGGAATAAGATTGTTCCTTTTTAATTTACTCTCAGTGCTGGTTCTGCTTGGAAAGTTCAAACTTGTAGAACACTAAAGGGCATTTTCACACCTGTAGATCGGGATTAAAATATTACATCTATGTTCAATTCACTTCAAATATTTCTAAACCTTTAAAGTTCCCGAAATGTGCATTTCTTATTCGATGTTTGATGTACATCTCAACTGAAAATGAAGAGAGGGTGGGACAGAGTAGCTCCTCCTCTAAAGAAAAACAGCCAATAGCATTTTGTTTTATCACCGCTTTGCCAGTGAGAGTGGTTGAGATCATTCATTTATTTTCTTTTCGGCTTAGTCCCTTTATTAATCTGGGGTCGCCACAGCGGAATGAACCGCCAACTTATTCAGCACGTTTTTACGCAGCAGATGCCCTTCCAGCCACAACCCATCTCTGGGAAACATCTTTACACACTCATTCACACTCGTACACTTTGGGCTGTGGGGGAAACCGGAGCACCCAAGAGGAAACCCACGCAAGCGCAGGGAGAACATGCAAACTCCGCACAGAAATGCCAACTGACCAAGTTGAGGCTCGAATCAGCGACCTTCTTGCTGTGAGGTGATAGCACTACCTACTGCGCCACTGCGTCACCTTGGTTGAGATCCTGCACAATAAATAAAAAGCATCTTGAAGGGGCGGGACATGTCAGATACTATAGAGCATTTGATTGGCCAAGATTTGATGAACATGAAGTATGAGGTGACCAGTGTTGGTTAAATTAATTCAAAAAAGTAATTAATTACTAATTACATAATTAAAATTGTATTTAAATTACATGTTTTATTACTGTGTCCGTACAGTAACTCATTACTCAATAAGCTATTAAATTACTTGACTCAACACAACGCTTAAATGCACTACATATAAATCTCAATGCTGCACAGACAATAGAAATTAAACTCTTAAAATATTTTAAACCTGAGCCAAATTGGACCTTTTAGCTTTATTAAATGAATGTAACACTTTAAGAATTATAAACATATCAAAAGACAAAACATTTTAAAGCGATGACAATATTTCATGCCCTTCCAGCTGCAACCCATCACTGGGAAACACCTATACACTCCCATTTACCCACATACATTACAGACAATTCAGCTTACCCAAGTCACTTAAAGCACATGACTTTGGACTGTAGTGGAAACCGGACCACCTGAGGTCTAATCAGCCAATCACACGCCAGTAACTCGATGCATTTAGGCATGTGGACTTGGTCAAGACGATCTGCTGCAGTTCAAACCGAGCATCAGAATGGGGAAGAAAGGTGATTTAAGAGACTTTGAACGTGGCATGGTTGTTGGTGCCAGACGGGCTGGTCTGAGTATTTCAGAAACTGTTGATCTACTGGGATATTCATGCACAACCATCTTTAGCATTTAGAGAGAATGGTCAGAAAAAGAGAAAATACCCAGTGAGCGGCAGTTCTGTGGATGCAAATGCCTTGTTGATGCCAGAGGTCAGAGGAGAATGGCCAGACTGGTTCCAGCTGATAGAAAGGCAACAGTAACTCAAATAAGCACTTGTTACAACCGAGGTATGCACAAGAGCATCTTTGAACACACAACACGTCCAACCTTGAGGCAGCAGAAGCAGAAGACCACATTGGGTGCCGCTCCTGTCAGCTAAGTACAGGAAACTGATGCTACAATTCACACAAGCTCACCAAAACTAGACAATAGAAGATTGGGAAAACGTTGCCCGGTCTGATGAGTCTCTATTTCTGCTGTGACATACGGATGGTAGGGTCAGAATTTGAGGTCAACAGCATGAAAGCATGGATCCATTCTACCTTGTAACAACAGTTCAGGCTGCTGATGGTGGTGTAATGGTGTTGGGGATATTTTCTTGGACACTTTGGGCCCATTAGTACCAATTGAGCATCGCGTCAACGCCACAGCCTACCTAAATATAGTTGCTGACCAGGTCTATGAGTGTAACTAATTAAATGACCTGAAAATGAAAAGTAATCCCTTACTTTAACTTTTCAGCACAAAAGTTATCCAATTACTCGAACTAGTTACTTTGTAACTGACTACACCAAACACGAGGTGAGGTGAAAATAAATCTTTGATGCTTTGATTTCGTTGATCTGAAAGCAACAAACTGCAAGCTTAAATTTTATCACTGTTTTGAACACACTAGTTAACAGCTATCCTTAAAGCTGACAAACAAAAACTAACATTAAAATGGTTAATTCCAATTTAATGGCACCTTTCACATGTTTACTAACAAGTTTAGAGTTGCTTTCAGCATGTTACCACTTGCTAATACCATCTATGGCTTTTGTATGTGACGGTTAATTTGCACATCACTGACTCAAGTCAAAACAATACAAAGAGATGAACACTTTTTTTCACCTTTTTATTTTATTGCACACTACCCTGTATGTCCTCCCAAACACTGTACAGCAGTTTCTCTAGAGTCATTTCAAGAAAAGAAGCCTCCAACAGCCTCATATATATACTTCAGCTTCAGCATTGTCATTGGATTTTTCCATTACATTTTGATAAAAGTTGTAAAGCAGCCCATTGTTTTTTTTATAACAGAGGGTTTTATACATTCACAGTGAAGCCACTGAATGTTGAAAATCACAGCTTTGATGAAATATAAGGCACAATGTCATGTTAGAAACAACAACGTTGACAGCATGTGGTAGCAATTTACAAAATACTGCAGAATTATGCCTCTGATGAATACTGTACAGTGATTTGCTTTGATGGTTTCACACCACACGATTGAACAGAACGCATTCAGACTGACTGATCGTACTGTTAAATACAAGCCTGTCAACTTAAATAATGCTTGCTAACTAAAGCTCTTAACATGCATTTCTGCAACATCCGAATGAACAGTGCAAACCCGCTTGTAAACAAAATATACATATATGCGGTTCAATGTAAAGACATCATTTGGACGAAATCTGCTGTGATGGTCCAATGCATTCTTATAAAAATGTTCAAAATTAAAGGGATAGTTTATCCAAAAACCATCATTTACTCTCATTTCAAGCATGTATGAGTTTCTTTCTTCAGTCTAACACAAAAGAAGATATTTTGAAGAATGTAGTAAAACCTGTAACCATTGACTTCCATAGTATATGTTTTCCTACTAGGGAAGTCAATGGTTACAGGTTTCCAGCATTCTTCAAAATATCTTCTTATATGTTTGACAGAAGGAAGAAACTCATAAAGGTTTGAAAACACTGTAGGACATAGGTCTCAAACTGGATTCCTGGAGGGCCGCAGCTCGGCACAGTTTTGCTCCAGCCCTAATTAAACGCAGCTTATTCAACTAATCAAGTTGTTCAAGACTCTTTTGTACACCTCGATTATTTGGATCAACTGTGTTTGATTAAGGTTGGAGAAAAACTATGTAGAGCTGCGGCCCTCCAGGAATCCAGATTGAGACCTATGCTTTAGGACAGGGGTGTCCAAACTTTGTCCCGGAGGGCCGGTGTCCAGGAGAGTTTAGCTCCAACCCTAATCAAACACTCCTGGACCAGCTAATCAAGCGCTTGGATATACTAGAAACTTCCTGACAGGTGTGTAGAAGCAAGTTGGAGATACATTTTCCAAGACACCGGGTCTCCAGAACCGAGTTTGGACACCCCTGCTTTAGGATGAGTAAATAGTGAGTCAACTTAGATTTTGAGGTGAACTAACCCTTTTATATTGAACTTGATTAATATTTTGATGGTGTGGCATAAGTTTACGTTAATACAAGGAACTTTATTCAACATTAAAATACTTAAAATGGACAGAATACCTTTTTTTGTTTGTTCTAGAAACTATATCAGCAATAACAGGCAGTAATATAATAGCAAATATAAAAATCTAGTGTCTATCCACTCAACAAATCAAACTAATGCATTTAATCAAGTCTCTCTGGTTTCACCTCCTCTGAGTGCAATAATCTCTTCACATGAGAAATTCAGCATACAATCAATAACCTGTCATATTTCTCCAGTTCATGTTTAATCTCAGGCATGAACCTGAAATACACCGGCCCAAGTATTGAGATAAAGATTTTAATTCCTGCAGCAGTTTGTGATTATGAAACGCCTTTGATGATTTTTCACATTTTACATCCAACTGATTGTGAAGTTATGACTGAGGTTCAGACCCAGGTCTGTTACCGTCAGCACCTAGACGGACACAAGACAATAAATACATTTTTTTTCAATCAGGGTTTATACACATTTTTACTACTAAAATTCCATGACTTTTCCATGATTTTTCAAAGCCATTGACCTAATGTTTCATGCATCTACATATGCGTGGTAAAAGAAAAACTGTGTATGTTTAAATTTATTACAGCATCTCATGAACACGAAATAATCTATTCAGTTTCAGTTTATATTTATATCCATGTAAAACTGATTTAGATGATGCTTTCACTGCACTAATAATGTGAGAGTATGTTATTGGTATACAGATATGTTTTCTACAACTTTTCCAAAACTTTGTGGGTTTTTCTGTTTTTCCAAAACTTTTCCAGGCATAAAAAAATTCCATGTCAAAATTTCATGACTTTTCCAGATTTTCCATGAGTTGCTGGTGATTTTTAAGGGTGAAGGATGTATAAGATTCAACCGTTTACCACAACATGGCTTCATGTGTTTCTAATGTCATGCAACTGAGATTTATTTAAATAAATATAGACCATTTTGAGGGATGTAAACAATAACAATGGTCTTAATGTATTTCCTGTATTACATTTTTCATTTTTGTAGCTCAAAAAAATCTAAAAATGTCCACATATTGATAAATAATGTTAAGGGAGTTATCTTAAACATTATGATATGATTAAATTGCCTTTTGTTACAGATATGAAATAGTTTGGCAACCAGCAGGAAATGTTCATTGGCCAGTGAAATCGCTACATTGAAATGGTCTAGTTGCACTACTGGTTTCAGAGTAAAACATGTAAGTGTTTATTAATGCTGTAGTTTTACAGTAAAATAATAAATATTTTATTGCTCATTTGTTTTATTTTACAGTACAACAGTGTTATTGCTGTATTTACAAATAATGTAAATAATTTACTTTAAAAAAGTAGCAATATTGCCTATGAAAACTCAAATAGAAAAATAAATAAAACTACAAAAAATATATTAATCATTTAACAACCTTCTACACTGACAAAAAATGACAATAAATGTTGAATTTTTCTTCAGTGAGAAATTAGCCTTTATAAATAACTTCAGAGAAACGACAAGTAATGCATTATATAATGGAATTTGCACTTAAATTACATAAAATTTTGAATTAATTAAAAATGTTTCAATATTTTCTTGCAAAATATACACTACCTACTAAAAGTCTTGTCATCTATCCAAGTTTTAGGAACAACAAATAATAACTTGTCTTCTAGTTGATCATTTGGTATCAGAAGTGGCTTTTATGAAAGGCAAAGGCCTCTAGATTACACTTATTATACCACAATAAAATATGATCATGCCTTGTTTTTAATCATTTAATTAGGACAGTAAGGTCTGACTTTGCTTAGACAAAAGTCTTGTCACTTAACAGAAATAATGTACAGTATAGAATATAAAGTCATGCTGCACTGGAAAAAAAATAATATTGTGTATGACTCCCATGAGCTTGGAGGACTGCATCCATACATCTCTGCTATGACTCAAATAACTGATTAATAAAGTCATCTGGAATGGCAAAGAAAGCGTTCTTGCAGGACTCCCAGAGTTCATCAAGATTCTTTGGATTCATCTTTAATGCCTCCTCCATCTTACCCCAGACATGCTCAATAATGTTCATATCTGGGCTGGCCAATCCTGCAACACTTTGACCTTCTTTGCTCTCAGGAACTTTGATGTGGAGGCTGAAGAAAGAGAAGGAGCGCTATATCCTGCTGAAGAATTTGCCCTCTCCTGTGGTTTTTAATGTAATGGGCAGCACAAATGTCTTGATACCTCAGGCTGTTGAGCCATCTACTCTCGCAAGCCCCCATACTGAATGTAACCCCAAACCATGATTTTTTTCTTCACCAAACTTGACTGATTTTTATGAGAATCTTGGGAATATGTGTGTTCCAATAGGTCTTCTGCGGTATTTGTGATGATTGGGGTGCAGTTCAACAGATGATTCATCAGAAAAATTGACCTTCTGCCACTTTTCCAAATGATCAACAAGAAGTCAAGTTATTATTTGTTGCTCTTAAAACTGGGATTGATGACAAAACTTTTGTCAGCTAGTGTACTTTATTAATCCATTTCTGTTAAACTTTCTTTTTTTTATTATTGTAGTAAAGCCTTTCCAAAATTGCAGAGCCAATTGCTGATTGGGAAAAGTTATTGGGAAGAGTTTGAAATTCAACCGGTAATAAAATACACAGTTTCTTTACATATTTAGTATCAACAGCATTTCATAACCCATAGCCTCCTAAAAACCCCCAATAATAAATATATTACCTGATTGTCAAGGTAAGTGAACGCCGCCTCCTGCGAATTCACGGTGACATTTTCTGGCTTCGCCTTCACTCCATAAAAGGAGGCGGTCTCCACAGTGATGTAAGTGGCCTCCTCATGATTATGCAGCACCTCTGACATCATTGTGTTCTGAAGACCATTAACAAAGGACATTGTTATTATAGCATTATTAATGACTCCAAACAACATACACGCTACAGACCAATGTGATTTACACAACTTATCTGAAAAAATGATTGTTTAGAGAACATTAACTAGCAGGTTGCACGTTTAAAGTCCACATGAAATGGAAGCTGTGACTGTTTTTTTTTCCTAAATTCATGTAGAAAACAGTGGGCGTGGCTTGTTTTTTTACTGCGGGCTAAGTGGATGTAGTAAAGTAGGCATTTCATTCAGAAATGATTGGGAAAGGGTTTCGACAGAATTATTAAAACCCAACAGACTCCTCCTCCTCACCATTTCTGTTTGTTATCAAAACTGACAGCTGGAGGGGCGGAGTTAAGCGTGTTAGCCACGCCCAAAACCTCAGACAGACAAAGGGCTCTATTTTGACGGTTTATGCGCAGAGCGCAAAACGCAGGGCGCAAACGCTTTCACGGGCGTGTCAGGACGCGTTTTTGCTAATTTAAGGACAGGAAATCTGCCTTGGATAGGGAAACCTTTACGCACAGACATCAATTAGTCTATAAATAAATACTTTTGTTTGTTAAGCGCAAATATTCGTTTCAAAACTATTTCTAAATTCAGTTCTAATTTCCATATGGTCTAAAACCTGACAGGTGGGCAAATCTAAGCTTGTTTTTAATAAAACAAATATAAATATGGATATAAAATGATACTGCTAATAATAATAACAATATACAAAAGCAAATAGTTATGAATGAACTAAAAAAAAGCCTCCCGAGATGAAGAAGACATAAAAGCAGTGGTTTTTCATATTTATGTAGGCTAGAAAATAATATGTTTTGTAATATTTTAATCCTTTATATTTATATTCTATATCTATTCTTATTATATTCTATATATATCCTTAATATTTACATTTTTTCATATGTAAAGATATTTGCCTCTTGCTCTCTTGTGCGTATTAAGCAGTGCGTAAGCGAGGCGCAACTCTGCGCCGGAGTTTAGACCGGGTTAGTTTTGGTCTAATTAAAAATCTAACATAGATTCTCAAAATAGCAACGCGCCAGTGGTCAGCCTCAGGACGCCTTCCTTTTTAGACCAGAACGCCTATGGGCGCAAAAATGAGCGCTAATGCATTTGCTATTTAAACAGCGTAGCGCATCGCCTCAAAACGACTCCTGCGCCAAGCTTAAACTACCAAAAGACTACTGCGCCACGCCTTGCGCCACACTGCGCCGGGTGTATGATAGGGCCCATAATTTGAGTATTTAACTAAAAAATAACATATCAGATTTCAATGAATGATTTCAAGGGCAAACAATTTTTTCTTAATGACATGCACGGATGAAATGTTCACTCCAAAACTAGCAATGTGAGCTTACAAAATCACATGGTTACTTTTGATGTCATTTGTACTTTAATAAAAAAACAATGATATGAAAACAAGAGTAGCATTTAAACAGTTAAATAAGTAAATGTATTCTAATGTGTCCATAGTGTGAGGATCTGATGAAAGCTGAAAGTAGAGCCCGCTGGGGCTGTTTTCAGTACCTGTTCTACTGTGAAATAGATGTAAGCGTATTGATTGCTCTCATACGAGTCAATGGTCTCTCCATCATCCCAGTACAGATCACCCTTGGCCCGGCCGTCCTCGCTCAGACTCACAATCAGATGAAGAGGCTGACCGCTGCTCACCCATAATGTGGTGTTCGGTCTCTGAAACACAAACACAACATTATTTATATATAATAACTTTAACTTATAATAATATATAACATATAATACTATAACATATAATAACTTGAAAAAAGATGCACACACATGCATTACAGAATAAATATATGAAGATCAAATGATTTAGATCTTTGGGTTCATTCTATAATGCTGGACTTATTTAGATAAGTGTGAAAATGTTAATGCCTGTCTGAGAAAAGTGTATAAAGTGTGCAGTGAGGGGTTTTACTGCCTTAAAACATCTATAATGATTATAAAATTAAAGTTGACAACTTTGCGGATTTTGCCTATTGGAGGTTATTTTTAGAACAGAACTCCCATGAATAATGAGGAATATACAGGGCATCCGGAAAGTGTTCCCTTTTTTTTCGCTTCACTTTTTTCACAGTTTTTATGTAACAGCCTTATTCCAAAATGGATTAAATTAATTTATTTCCTCAAAATTCTAAACTCAATACCCCATAATGACAATCTGAAAAAAGATGTTTTGAAATTGCTGCAAATTTATAAAAAATAAAAAATATTGTGTTTATGTAAAGTTTTTTTTTTTGTTTATTTATTTTTACTATTATTATGTTTTGTATGTGTGTTTTTTATTTTTTATTTATTTATTGAGGTTTATATTATTTATCTGTATTTACTAGATTTATGATAGCAACATCTAATGACAGCCACTGCCGTTGTTGGGGAGGGAAAAGGGAATGTTAAAAGGAGATAAACATTTGTAAATTGATTATACTGTTAAATTAATGAAGAAAATAAAAATGTAATCATAAAAAAAAAGAAAAATCACATGTACATAACTATTCACAGCCTTTAATCAATACTTTGTTGATGCACCTTTGGCAGTAATTACAACCTCAAGTCTTTTTGCATAGGATGCCACAAGCTTGGCACACCTGTCTTTGGGAATTTTTGCGCCGGGGTACAGCCAGTTTCAAATCTCTCCAGAAATGTTCAATAGGATTCAAGTCTAGGCTCTGTCTGGGCCACTCAAGGACATTCTCAGAGTTGTTGTGAAACCACTCCATTGATATTTGGCTGTGTTTTGGGTCATTGTCCTGCTGGAAGATGAACAGTCGCCCTAGTCTGAGGTCAAGAGCATGCTGAAGCAGGTTTTCATTCAGAATGTCTCTGTACATTGCTGCATTCATCTTTCCCTCTATCCTGACTAGTCTTCCAGTTCCTGCTGCTGAAAAACATCCCCACAGCCTGATGCTGTCAACACCATGCTTCACTGTAGGGATGGTATTAGCCTGGCATTCACTCCAAAGAGTTTGATTTTATTCTCATCAGACCAGAGAAATTTGTTTCTTATGGTCTGAGAGTCCTTTAGATGCCTTTTGGCAAATTCCAGGCGGGGAGTGGCTTCTGTCTGGCCACTCTACCATACAGGCTCTCCTCTCTCCACAGAAGAACGCTAAAGCTCAGACAGAGTGACCATTGGGTTATTGACCACCTCCCTGACTAAAGCCCTTCTCCCCTGATGACTCAGCTTAGATGGCCGGCCAGCTCTAGGAAGATTCCTGGTGGTTCCAAACATCTTCCACTTACAGATGATGGAGGCCACTGTGCTTATTGGAACTTTCAGAGAAGCAGAAATTTTTCTGTAACCTTCCCCAGCCTTGTGCTGAGACAATCCGGTCTCAGAGGTCTACACACAATTCCTTTGTCTTCATGCTTGGTTTGTGCTTTGACATGCACTGTCAACCCTGGGACCCTGGGACAGGTGTATGCCTTTTCAAATCATGTCCACATTGCAAAAAATGCTTTTTTTGCTTAGATTTTTGTCTTGTTTCTAGTCTAAATATCTAAAACTTCTTATATCAAGAGGCATTTTCTAGACAAGCAAAACATATTGTCTCGTTTTGAGAAATAATATGCCAATAATAAGTGAGCAAAAATAATCTGCCAATGGGGTAAGCAAAATAATCTTGTTTTTTCGTTTGACGTAAGATTATTTTGCTTACCCCATTGGCAGATTATTTTGCTTGTTTTAAGGAAAAACTCATGTATTATTGGCATATTATTTCTCAAAACAAGAAAATATGTTTTTTTTTGTCTAGAAAATTCTTCTTGATTTAGGAATTTTCAGATATTTGGACTAGAAACAAGACAAAAAAATCTAAGTAAGAAAAGCATTTTTTGCAGTGCAATCAACTGAATTGACCACAGGTGAACTCCAATTAATCTGCTGAAACATCTCAAGAATGATCAGTGGAACCCGAATGTAGCTGAGCTCAACTTAGAGCTTCACGGCAAAGGCTGCGAATTCTGATGTACATGTGATTTTTCAGCTTATTTAATTTTATAAAATTGCAACAATTAAAAAAAAATATTTTCGTATTCTCATTATGGGTTATTGTATGTAGAATTGTGAGGAAATAAATGAAATGAATCCATTCTGGAATAAGGCTGTAACATAAAAAATTTGGAAAAAGTGACGCGCTATGAATATTTCCAGATGCACCGTATATATGATTCACCTGTGTAGGTATGACTGATCCCTCTCTGAGATGCAGGTTGATTTTGTCTGCTGGAGCCTCAAGCTTGATTTCTTCTCCACTGCTTATCAATGAGTTCCCCTGCATTTCAAACCAACAAATTTGTATACTGCATGAGACTGGCAAGTTAAACTAGCGAACAACCTCAAGAGAGGATTTGATTAGAGGTGTGACTTACCGTGTGAAAGTCATACCAGAGACCTTTAGGGAAATATCCCACAACATAATCTCGCCCTGCATCCAAAACCGGTGTGACAAGCAAACTCTTCCCCCATAGGAACTGTTTATCAATCCCATACGTCTTTTCATCAGTAGGGAACCTGAAGTACAGCACAGACACTGGTTCACTTTTATATAAGGCCCTAACATTTCCTAGAGTTATTGATATTTAAAAAGACATTTTTTTGTTTACTGATTATGTTTATTTATGTAGCACGGCGATCCTGCGGAACCTTTTGTTCCACTGTATGTCCAAACATATATTTATTATTATTTTTTTAAGTGCACATGCACACTAAAATAAGTTGTAAGAATTTAATACACAGAGTTTTCAGGTCAAACACATTTAACTTACTGGAAAAGCAGTGGTGTGGCGACCGTGTGTCCGCTGACGTGTGCGTGATGGAAGAGTGTGTAGAGATGTGGGAACAGGGAATAGCGAAGAAGGATGGCTTCTTTCATTGCCGTACGAGCTGCAGGACTGAATGCAGTTGGTTCCTGATCCTGCGGTAAAACAATTAAAAACATAACGATATAAAAACAATATGTACCGGCAAAACAACCGATAGACCTTAACACTACAGGAATGTCAATAAAAAAAGTCTAAAAGCCAAGCAAGGCTCCAAAAATAGCACATATCTCTTGATATTTAAGAATTATGAGCTATAATACTTAAGAGTTGTAGTGTATTGGTGTACAAAGATGATTTACTAATAACTTCTGAATTAAAAAAGCAGGAACAACTGAAAGTGCACACTTATATACACATTTTACATTGGGATGGCCTTATACTTGTGTTAAAATTAATTTTATACATAAAGAATTAGTTATACTTAAGTATAAAAGAGAAGGATTAATGTTATAGCTTGATTTGAGAGTTTTCTTAGTGTAACAACGTTGATATACATGCATGCAGCTGAAGTCAAAATTATTAGCCCTCTTGTCAATTAATTTCTTTCAAATATTTCCCAAATGATGTTTAACAGAGCAATGAATTTTTCACAGTATTTCCTATAATATTTTTTCTTCAAGAAAAAAAATTATTTGTTTTATTTCGGCTCAAATAAAAGTAGTTTTTAATTTAAAAATAAATATATTTTAAGGTCAACATTATTATCCTCAAACAATATTTTTTCGATTGTCTACTAAACAAACCATTGGTATAAAATGATTAGCCTAATTATCTAACTAGCTTAATTAACCTAATTAACTTTAAGCCTTTAAATGTTACTTTAAGCTGTGAGTTTTCTTAGTCTAACAATGTTGATATACATGTATGCAGTTGAAGTCAAAATTATTAGCCCTCTTGTCAATTAGTTTTTTTCAAATATTTCCCAAATGATGTTTAACAGAGACAGGAATTTTTCACAGTATTTCCTATATTTTTTCTTCTAGAAAAAGATTTATTTGTTTTATTTCGGCTCAAATAAAAGCAGTTGTTATTTTAAAAATAAATATATTTTAAGGTCAACATTATTATCCTCCTTAAACAATATTTTTTCGATTGTCTACAGAACAAACCATTGTTATTTAATGATTAACCTAATTATCTAACTAGTTCAATTAACCTAATTAACTTTAAGCCTTTAAATGTTACTTTAAGCTGAATTCTAGCATCCTAAAATATATCTAGTAAAATATTATGTTCTGTCATCATGGCAAAGATAAAAAAAAAAATCAGTTATCAAAACTATTACATTTAGAAATGTGTTGTAATATCTTTCCATTAAACAGAAATTGGGGGAAAATATACACGAGGGGGGCTAATAATTCTGTCTGCAACTGTATGTATGTAACTGGCTAATGAGAAGTTTGTAAAGGGTTTATTGTGTTTGGGCTGCTTGTGAGCAGAACAACACATTTGGCATTGCTTGACGATAAATCTACGGTTTTTATAGAAAGAGCTTTACAAGTTTGTCAAGAATGCAGAAAAGTTGTAAAGAAAAAAAAATCTCTGGCTTCAGTTAATTATGATGCATCAAATATACTATTATTACTCATGTATACAAGCTAGAAATGTGAGTGATGAGTCCTCCCGTTTCATGTGCACAAATTCTAAACAATACGCAACATATCAGTGAGCGAAACCCAGTGTTTGTGCAGATGGGAGAAAGTTCACCTGTTCATCAATGGAGTTGTGGTTTCTTGTGAAAGGGTAAAAAGCTCCGAGCTGCGTCCATCGCACACACAGCTCTTCTGTAGTGCTGCCGCCAAACCCACAAATGTCTGCTCCAATCAGAGGAATGCCCAGGATGTTAAATGTCAGCATACCTGTGAGAAAAAAGAACAAACAATTGTCAGAAAATCTGCATTAAGCAAAACTCAGCAGTGTGTGAGTGTGTATTTGTGCTACTATCCCGATGGTGACTTAAAGCTGAATGTACACAGACTCATGGCGACTTGTGTGTATTTTGTGGGCACAAAAATAGAGGTATCCATGTGTAAACATGTTTAGAAATCAAAAACAAAGAAGTATTTGCAAAAAAAATGCAGATTGTTTACAGGTTTTGGGGATAAAGTGAGAGAGAAAGATAATATATGGTCTGATAGTATTATAGTAGAAACATCATTACGTATCTTAGAGTCTTCACCGAGATATAGACACAAGTGTGTTTGTGTGTGTGTGTGTGTGTTTATACCTGGTATAGATGTGGCCAGATCTTTCCACTGGCTCCTGTTGTCTCCGAGCCAGTGGCCTGAATACTTGCCCTGACTGGGAAACGTAGAGCGGGAAATAATGAAGGGACGCTTCTTTGTGATCCTCCTCAAAGCACTGAGACAGAAAGATGGACATCAGCCACTAGCAATATTAAAGAAAGACTCCAAATGCTTTATCTATCTTTATTTCAAATGTTCTATATACCCAGAAATGTTTTGGTTGAAAGATGTGGTTCTGCCTATTTATTTTTAAAGTGCCACTTGATCTGACACTTTTCTTTTTTCAGGAAGAATGCATTAAATTGATCTGAAGTGACAATAGTTTTCATTTTATCAACAAAAGCCTTCTATTGCAAATACAGCTTTCTACCTTTTTTTTTTTTTTTTTTTTTTTTTACTGTTTTATATTGTTTATACTGTTGTATAATCAGCTTTGTATTACTTTTTTGCTGCTATGTCATTGTTTTGTACCACTAGACCCCAAAAAAACATTTGGATGATTTCTCAAGGTATATTGAAGACTGGAGAAGAGAAATCAATATTAACATATTTCAATTATATTTTAAATAAAAGTTAAATAAAACAGCTATTTTAAGTAATAGTATTTATTTATTTATTTACTTATTTGTTTATATTAATAAACACACTGTGTTGGTCAGACTTTTTTCTTTAAACAATTTAAAATATTAATAACAATACATGTTGAACGTTACTTTATGTAAATACAGTTGAAATCAAAATGATTTGCCCTCCTGTGAATGGTTTTTTCCTTTTCAATTATTTTCCCTAATGATGTTTAACAGAGCAATGAATTTTTCCACAGTATTTGCTTTTATTTTTTCTTCTGGAGAACGTCTTATTTGTTTTATTTAAGCCATAAGATATATAATAAAAGCAGTTTTTAATTTTTTTTTATCATTTCGAGATCAATATTATTAGCCCCTTAAGCTATATTTTTATTTATAGAACAAACTATCAAAATACAATGACTTGCCTAATTACTCCAACCTGCATAATTAACCTAGTTAAGCCTTAAAATTGCCCTTTAAAGCTGAATACTAGTATCTTAAATTAAATCTAGCAAAATATTAATGTACTGTCATCATGGCAAAAATCAAATAAATCAGTTATTAAAACTATTATGTTTAGAAATGCGTTGAAAAATATCTTCTCTCCATTAAACAGAAATTGAAACAAAACAAAAAAAATAAATAAAGGGGGGCTAATAATTCTAATTGTTTATGTGTATTATTTTACCTTTCAGTAGCCTGTGCCTCCATGAGTCCATACAGACTGTGTATGTTATAGTGAACAGAGATCTTCTGACGTGCAGATGCACACACAGTCTTGCCCTTCAATGTACCACCCAGAATACCTGCAGCAGACAAAACCCTCTCTTACTCGGGAGGAAAAACAATCCAACATTGCATTCATAGTGTAAATCTCCACACACTGATACCTGGTGTGTAGGGAGGATTTTCCAGTTCATTGTCTGGACAACCATTCAGTGACCCATCAAAAAAGTTAGACGGCTCATTCATGTCCTTATGGAAGAAATATAAAAAAATCTGACCAATGCATGGGTAAATGCCAACAGTTGATGATCAAAAGGAGAATAATGCACAACTTACAATCCACACGCCATCGAATGGCACTTTGTTATGAAATCTCTGCAGATTCTGGTACCACCATTCATGAGTGTCCGGATTGGAGAAATCTGGAAAAGCAGTTAGTCCTGGCCAAACCTTAAAATACAATAAAAATACAATAAAAATAAAAAACATATATACTAACAATCGAAAATATTAAATTTATATACAGTTGAAGTCAAAATTATTAGCCCCCTTTAGATTTTTTTTTTCTTTTTTAAATATTTCCCAAATGATTTTTAACAGAGCAAGGAAATTTTCACAGTATGTCTGATAATATTTTATCTTCTGGAGAAAGTCTTATTTGTTTTATTTCGTCTAGAATAAAAGCAGTTATTAATTTCAAAAAAAATATTTATTATTAAATTATTAGCCCCTTTAAGCTATTTGTTTTGCCTAGTTCACCTTATTAACCAAGTTAAGCCTTTAAATGTCACTAAGCTGTATAGAAGTGTCTTGAAAAATATCTAGAAAAATATTATTTACTGTCATCATGGCAAAGATAAAATAAATCAGTTATTAGAAATAGGTTTTTAAATTGGGGAAAAAAATAAACAGGGGGTGATACAAGTCACCTTTAAAAATAATAATAATAATACATTTTATTTGTATAGCACTTTTCCAACATACACGCAACTTGAAGTGCCTCACAAACAACAACAAAAAAGCATTAATACCACATAAACTTGTCACACATACTCGGATAAAAGCATTTATGTACACAAAATATAAGCATATATCCACATGATCACGCACACAATAGTCCTTACATATGCAAGCACACACCATACATAGACACATAAACCTACAACAATATAGATATGATAAATGATATGATAATGCAAATGTAAGCATGATATGATAAATGTAAGCAGGTCATCAAAAAAAAAATCCAGATACTGTCACAAAATCCGAATTGAAAATCAAGATCTGCAATGTAAATACTCTGAAATTCTATAGGGAAAAAGCCAGTCAGTAGTTTGCTATTTTCTATTAATATCTAAACAAATATTTTGCAGTGTTTGCATGTTCGTTGCATAGAATTCAATGTAAATTAATATAAAACTATTGCATACATAAAATTATATGCATGTTCATTAAAATGGACGTAAATTTATTACAGGTTGATTAAAAGAAACACCAAAATTGTTTTGCATTTTGTGATTTTTTTAAATTAAAAAAAAATATTTTTCATTCATAAATTAGCAAAATATTTGAATTCTAAGACTATTCTATTCATACGTTTCATCTTTAGGGATTTCTTTAAAATAGTGTAAAAATCTTGTCTCGTTCTCATGAACCCAATCTCGCGTCTCGTCTCGTCACACCCCTAATACATACGATTTCACAGTATTACCGTTTTTACTCTATTTTTGATCAGAAAAAGCTTAGATTTGTGTACCTTTCCAATAAGGATGTCTCCATTTGAGTCATTGATGAAGATGCCCTTCTTCTTACCCTCATCAAACGGCCAGTAAGAGCCAGGTGGCTGAGAGTTACTAATTCCAGGATCCTGATGAGGAAACACACTTCAGTAACACATCCTAATGCTTCAGTGAGGGTTTCAACTACAGTCATGTGAAACATTCAATTGCCAAATGGGCCTCATGACTGTCAGTCTGATCTAATGCTTCAAAAAAGAGACGAGACCTAAATGAGGAAGCGTGTCATGTGGATGTTTTGCAGGAGAAACATACTAATAATCCTGCAGAATGCATTGGCCTCTCTCCTTTCACTTTTATAGTTTATTTGCTTTCAGTAAATGTCTACTGTCCCAAGCGTCTCTCGCACTGGCCCCGGACCATCGAGCAGTCCTTATTGTTGAGCCCTGATTAAGCCTTATTTACTCTATTATAATCCATTTTAATGACTCTGATATTTAGACAGCCTCTATAATTGAATTAAACAAACTTAGTTTCAGATAAATAATTAAGACATTAACAAATTCAGAAAAAACAAGTATAGATTTGCATTTTATTTATTGGACTGCTCCACTAAAACCAAGGAGTCTGACAGTGCATCAGTCTTTTAACTGTGAATATTAAAACTGCACACCTTATAGGTCGGAATTATCTTTTACGCAATCAAAATTACCAGAAGGGTTTGCATTGGGATTTGCATAACACTGTTAACAAGTTGTATTATTAATTCTGTGTTATTTTGTATACAGACAACAAGCAGATGACCCCAGAATATTAACACAATTATTGTTTTTTACAAATTTGGTCTTTCTATATGTAGAATTTGGCCTTTGTGTACATGTAACATAAAAAATGAAATTTGAAAAGTAAATTTTCTTTTCTTTACACTTTTTTAGGGGTTTCTACCTCTAATGGACAGGACAGTTGGGATTACAGACAGGAAAGTGTGGGAAGCAGAGAGAAGGGAAGAATCGGTAAAGAATCTCGAGTTGGGAATAGAACGAGAGTGGGAGATTTAATCTGTGCATTCAATTTCTTGGTCAAATGAAATTATTCCTGATAGTCTATTATCGACATCAACCATTTAATGGAATGAATTGCATTCCCACTCTGGGTTCATGCTTCTCCGTACATACAAATGACCTATATTTTTAATATGTAAACTGAACATTTTGTGAGGGAGTGCAAAAGTTTTGGAGAGAATGTGCAAACATTGTTAGAGAAAGAAAAAATGTTAATATATAAACATTTCCTACCGCCACATCTCTTTAGTGGCTCTGTAGGTATTAACATTTAAATGCTTTTTTAAATTTGAATCAATCAATCCATTTTTTTCTTTACCAGAATCATGACATAGTGTTGATCGTGTCGTTGAAGGTCTTTCACCAGGTCTGGAAGGGTGGAAAAGCCTGAAGGGTCGTAAGTGAAGTCTAGACTTCTATCCATGTAGTCAATATCGTTCCACTGAACATCCTGAAAGACCATAACATAAATATTAGTATAATTTGCATTCAGTGAAAACACAACTTTGTTTTCTGCCACATAGGGATGCAATGATTATAGATTTTGGTTGTACAATTATAATCTGTGGAATAACCACGGTTTTACGGTTATCACGATTGTTATTCATTAATTTCAAATGATTATTAGTTTATAAAACCACTTAAAAAAAACTCTGCATATTTTAAAGTGTTGTTTAAATTACAAAAATACAATAAAAATATTAGATAGAATAAATAAATAAATAAATAAAAGTGAAATATAAATACAAGTGGAAAAAAAGTTTTGGCATTTAAACATAAGTAATAATTTTACACTGAAAATAAATAATAGAACAACAAATAAATGAATAAATAAAATAGTATTTGTCTATAGTAAATCTAAGATACGTATTAGCTAAATATTTCCCTTAACACCAACAAATGTAGTTAAAGGCTGCTGAACCTCTGTCTGAAAGGCATTTTTGATCAACGATAGCTTATCCAGTGTGCGTGCGTATTAACTTTAGTGTACAAGCTCGCAACTTTAAACCAGCACACAGTTGGCATAACTTTGTTTAGTTGCAGTGCAGAACCGTGGTGTAAAAGAAATCTTTACGATTAATTAACTGTGACAAATTTAATTGCGGTTAATAGTGAAATCGGTTAATCGTTGCATCCCTACTGCCACAAGCAGCTCATTACAAGAGTAGAATTCAGACATTTGAGATGCCCTTTGTATGTCAGCATAAAAATAAAGGATCATGTACATTATGAAATAATAAAAAAAAAAAACCATTTGATTAAGCTGTTTTAATCTTCCTGTCAGCAGTGGCATAAGCAAAAATGTAAAGGATGTATGCGTGAATTAGGGAAAAATATTATATAGTAATATAATTGATATAATTCATTAATATTTTATAATAATATACATTAATATTTTAAATAACATTTTTAAAATTACATTGTAATTATGTTTTTATTAAATTGTAATTCATTTTTAATTAAACTTTAGTAACTGTATTATATGCTTTTGTTATTTACATATTTTGTCACAAATACATAATATACACATACACACTAATAACAACCCTGAATGAGACAGTATATATATGATCATTTATTCTCATCAGATAGTTGATCCATTTTACCTGACGTCTTTCTAGGGTGTAAATCTGGTGGGCTACAGCCAGAGATCTACTGTTGACCATGACTGCAAACTGAGCTATTAGTACTTACACCAAACTAAATGTTGACTGAAAATGATCTAAAAGCTAGAGTACCTGAGGTATCCCATAATTCCGCATTTCTTTTACAACACTCCAGGTTTTGTTGCTTGTCTTGTAGCCCCATCGGCACAGATGATACCCAAGAGCCCAGTAGATGGGCATAGCAGGCTTTCCTAATGTGAAAAAAAAGATTCGACAGTTAGTTGGTAAACTTCTTATTCATCATGCTTATCAAACACCGGTTGCTCACCTACAACATCCAGATACTGTCCAATCACAGAGCTAGGATCCGGGCCTAAGAAAATGTAAAAGTCGAGGATCCCACCAATCATACGCCAGGTAACAGCTGGTGCAGGCTGCAAAACCACATCTGCATAAAAGATTATTTACATACATTATTACAAAGTCCATGCAGACAGCATACACTTCCAAAAAACATGATCTGGTATCACCATAGTTTGCTGTATATAGATTTATACAGATATATTTTATATTTTAGGACATGCACCATGGTAATACCACAAAGTGTCATGTTACACAAAAATGTCGATTATTAATCAACAATGACAAACATACTTTTCGTCAGAGCTTGTGCTTGTCCTGGAGTTAAAATTCCATTCCTTTTTTTGCAAAATTCGTTAAAAAAGATATCATCTTCTAGTCAGGATTGATTTCAGTCTGTGTCTAGCAATCTTTTATGATTGTTTGTAATTGCTTGTTTTGTTTATTTTAAACCCACTTTCTATATTTTGATCCCACTTGCTTGTTTACATTAACCATGAAATTATTTATTTTTGGATATAATTACACTATACTATACTATACTATACTATACTATACTATTAGTATTATTAAAGTATTAATTATACTATACTATACTATTATATATAGTATGTATACACAAACACACACACACACACACACACATATACATATATATATATATATATATATATATATATATATATATATATACCAGCTACCTGCATTAAATATAAAATAGTTTATATATATAATTTATAATTATATATAATAACTATTTTATATTTAATGCAGGTCACTGGTTCGAGCTCCAGCTGGATCAGTTGGCATTTCTGTGTGGAGCTTCTATTTTCTTCTCGTATTCGCGTGAGTTTCCTCCGGGTGCTCTGGTTTTCCCCACAAGTCCAAAGACATGCACTATAGGTGAATTGGGTAAGCTTAATTGTCCGTAGTGTATGTGTGTACAGATGAAGTCAGAAATATTAGCCCCCCTGAATTATTAGCCCCCTTGTTTATTTTTTTCCCAATTGCTGTTTAATGGATAGAAGATTTTTCCAACACATTTCTAAACTTAAAAGTTTTAATAACTGATTTATTTATCTTTGCCATGAAGACAGAACATAATATTTTACTAGATTTTTTCAAGACACTTCTATACAACTTAAAGTGACATTTAAAGGCTTAACTAGGTTAATCAGGTAAACTAGGCAGGTTAGGGTAAATAGGCAAGTTATTGTACCGGGTGGGCCATTTATATGGATACACCTTAATAAGATAGGAATGGTTGGTGCTATTAACGTCCTGTTTGTGGCACATTAGTATATGTGAGGGGGCTTGTAAATAACTCATGAAAAAAATTAAGTTACGTTAAAACCAAGCACACCCTTGTTTATTCTTGTGAAATTCCCAATAAGTTAATTAAGGTGTATCTATATAAATGGTCCACCCTGTATAACGATGGTTTGTTCTGTAGACTATCAAGTAAAAAAAAATAGCTTAAAGGGGCTAATAAATTTGACACTGAAATAGTTCTTAAAAAAATTAATAACTGCTTTTATTCTAGTCGAAATAAAATAAATAAGCCTTTCTCCAGAAGAAAAAATATTATCAGACATACTGTGTAAATTTCCTTGCTCTGTTAAACATCATTTGGGAAATATTTAAAAGAGAAAATTCAAAATTCAAAGGGGGGCTAAAAATTCTGACTTCAACTGTATGTCCTGGTCCTCCAGACTGAGGGTTGAGCTAACAACCCACCTCATAAAAAAAAAGAAAAAAAAAAAAAGAAAAAAAAAAAGATGTTACCAAAATATTGTCGGCTAAATATTAACTTTGATAAAAAATGGCCCTGCGTGTAAATAACTAATTACATTTTCCTCAATATATAGAAAATAGTAATAGAATTATAAAAATAATAATAATTTAAATAACTGTTGTGTGAAAATTTTTATTTATATATTTTTATTATTATTATTGATTATCCAACTTTTTAAACATTTTTGCAAAAATGGAAGCTTTAAAAAAAAAAAAAAAAAACCTTAACAACTATCTACCCCTCAACAATCCAAAACTGAATAAATACCCAAATGCACAAACATTTCAGAAGTTGCTTTACTGTAATATTAGTAATAATAGAGGATAAAAGGTGACTGTGAAGTCGGTTTTATGCCAGCTTTAATCTAAATTTCAGCAATTGATTTTAGACCAAAACATCACCTGACATTCACAACCACAAATATTCATGGGAAAAACACCAAATGAACGCACAAAACACTCTTCTTATTAAGTGTGTATCATAAAGGTTTACAAATTAACACAAATAATCAATTCAATCAGTCCAAAGTTTCATGAGAGCTGATGTAAATCTGATATGATGGTCTTTTGTATTTTTTCTAATGCATGAACTTATCATCTAAGCACACCAATCCTTCATAGCATCAGGCAGAATGCCTTGGCAGGTAGCCATTGAAACTAATGTTTACAAGATTAATAATAAATAGAATAATTAATATAATGAATAATAAAATATAGAACTTAATACAATTACACGATTTTCATAAAAATTCAAGATAATAATCTTAACTGGGTGCATTAACACAATAAAATGCAAGGCTTATCATACTGTAAACATGACAATAAAATTAGAGTATGTGCACTCATTGCTTCATTGCTTGGCTTCAATGCTTGTGAAGAGGTACACTGTTTGCAATGTATGAAACATCACCCCTCCGTACTCAAGCACTTAATTCTCTGAGCACTAACAGTTCCTTTGTATAATCAGTACTTCATGGGTGTATTGCCTGTTCTTGTTAAATTACTAAATGCCTCCTCAATTCATAAGTCACTTTGGACAAAAGCATCTGCTAAATGACTGAATGTAAATTTAATGAACCCACCCATTGCATTACTGTTGAGCATGAAAAATCCATGTGCATTTCCATCAGATTCCATGGAAAGATAAAAAGGGTGGACACCATAGAGGTTGGTGAGCTCCTGAAAGATCCGGGAAGAGAGAAAATTTAGTGCAAGTCGACTTTTTCTACAATAATATAGGTGTATGCTGATTGAATATTTATAAAAAAAAATACTTTCCAAATCTGATTGCATCTTTTTATCTTTTCAATGTTATTATTGTTATTTGTACACTGTAATACAAATTGGTTGTCCTGAATATTTAGGTTAAGAAAAAATGCTACAAATAATTTTTAACAGAAGTTCCAGCTGGATTAGATCTTATTCTGAAGTAGACGCTAATTTATTTCCCCCAAATAGCATTCCCAGTTCCTGCATGGCAAACAAATCAGAAGTCCACTACGGTCACCAATAGTTCTCCTAATGGGAAATGCCGTTTGAACGAACAAAGGTCAAGTTACCATTGGAGGAACATCTCGAGCCCACATGGTGAGAGTGTTCCACTGGACATCATGCAGAAAGTTGGAGCGATGTTCACCCAGTCCGTAGATGAAACGTGTGGGTAGAGATGAGGACATCTGGAGGAACTGATCCGCGTAGAAGAGAGGAGCGATGGATGTGTTCAGCCTGGCAGCACAGAAACATACATGTTACTTCTGGCATTCATTATAGATCTCCTTGTTGGCCAGTTTTCTGGTGATGGCTTGAAACTACTCTGTGAATTTGAAAGGCAGGTCTGTGTATTTGTGTTTGTGTTGTGGACTTACAGTACAGCTCCAGTCTGCGTTCTCTTGACTATCAGTCCAAACGGCTCTTTGATGAAGTCTACAGTGTACGAGGGGTTTGAGGCTCTTTTATGAACCACAGGGACATCTATAGGCACCTCGTACCTCTTTTCAGTCGGGTCTGTTATCTGTATGAGAAACAGGAATATTATGAGAACATAAAAAGTCTGAAAATGTTTTCAAAATTAAGATTAAAGCTGGCGTTTGTCATGTTAAAAGTCAATACTTTGTTGTCTACATAAATTAAAACAAAACACTTAAAAAAAAGATTTCACCTTACAAAAGATTTTCACAAGAAATCACCTGATTTAAATTCTACAAGTGAAGTTGGTCTTTATAAATTACAATGCACAGATAAAATGGATATTCGTTTTGAAATGTCACATTTAAGCCAAACAAATAAAAAAGACTTAAAAATCATATAAATCATTCTACATCATTCAATCATTCTATAAATCAAGATTTGTGAAAAAAATATATATTTTCAGCTTTAATAATAATAATAATAAAGGTAATAATAACAACAACAACATCAACAACAATAATAATATTAATAATAATAATAATAATAATAATAAAATGGCAAATCAGCATATTAGAAAGACACTGAAAACAGAAGTAATGCCTGTATTTTTCTTTACCATGACCATAATAAACAACACTTTAAAATGTATAAATAGAAAAAAAAATGTAATTAACTACAATACAATTTTACAACAGATCTCTTTTTTACTGTATTATTCATAAAATAAATGGAGACCCTCTGAAAAATTATTATATTGTCATTGAGACAATCTTCTGAATGGATAATGATATTAATAAATAATTATTATTTAATTATTAACGATGTCAATAATACAAAGATATATTTTTAATAAGTAAAAATCAATAATTTAGCATTTTAAAACATGAAAAATATATGTTTTTATTTAATAATTAAACTAAAATAAGAGCAAACAAATAAACACAGGAAAAAAATATCATATAGTATTTTTGTTAAAAGTAATTATAAATAATTTAAAATAAGTAATAATTACAATTATTTATTTATATATAGTTGAAGTCAGAATTATTATCTCCCTTGTTTATTTTTCCCCTAATTTCTGTTTAACGGAGAGAAGATATTGTCAAGCATTTCTAAACATGATAGTTTTCATAACTCATTTCTAACAACTGATTTATTTTATCTACAGTACATCATATTTTACTAGATAAGGGTAATTTAAAGAGGTAACTAGGTTAGAGGCAGGTTAGGATAATTAGGCAAGTCAATGCACAATGATGGTTTGTTCTGGAAACAATTGAAAAAAAAATTGCTTAAAGAGGCTATAAATTTTTGACCTTAAAAGGGCTTTTAAAAAATTTAAAACTGCTTTTATTCTAGCTGAAATAAAACAAATAAGACTTAATGTGAGCAATGCATTGCTTTAGATATCACTTTATTTACAATAAAACTATATATTAATATGTATGACAAGCCTACAGTAATTAATAACATTTCTGATTCTCACTTTTTTATGCATCAGTGCACAACATGTAAAAACTATTCTGTATCTAAATTATGTCCAGTGGTGTAATGTAAAATATTACAAATACTCAAATGACTGTAATGGAGTAGTTTTTCTCGGCAATTGTAATTTACTAAGTCGTTTTAAAAATGTGTACTTTTACATTCTCTTGAGTACATTTTAGTGCAGTATCGGCACTAACTCTACTATTCTCCTTCAACCTGCAGTCACTATTTTATATTTTCTTATCTATGGGGATTGGCTAAAGTACAACAATCAGTCCCTGTGATTCATGTGCAATCAAACCGCACGGCTCAATCGCATCATACAGAACAATCTAAGGACATGAACGCTTCAAAAATGCTGCAAACAGTTTTAAAAGAATTGAAAGTGTCCATGAGGATGTCCAAAACCATCACACACAATGACCTAGAGACTGTTTAGACTGTATGAAGGATGTATGATGCACTACAGAATATTACGTTTTCACACACATGCACAAATTGCATGTACAGTAAATGCATCAGACTTTAAAAGTGTAATGCTCACTACTCTTTTAAAAGGCCAACTTTTTACTCATACTCAGTAATATTTACAAGATACTTTTACTCTACTTGCACTACATTTTTGAGCAGCTAATGGGGCTTTTACTGGAGTAAGATTTTCCAGTACTCTATCCACAACTAATAATCTTAATCACAGGAACAACGCTCTGACCTTCACACGCAGCCTGTGGTCCTCCTCAAACAGCACCTCCAGCTGAAGAGCATCGATGTCTTTGGGATAGTATGTCTTCTTATTCCTGAGCAGCTTTCCCACCTTGCCCATCTCCGTATCAACAATAGACATTAGCTCATAGGACGGATAATCAGGAGTGTAAAAACACCATGGCACTCCATTCTGTGCCGAAACATTGCCCCGTGAGCTCTGAATAAAGCAGCAGTTTCTAGCATGGCACATGTCCTCCGTCACCACCACATTTCTTTCAGGATAGCAGTCAAACCTCCACCCTTCAGGCACCTGAGAGCAGGACTCCGGCTGCAGCCCTGTTCCGTTTTGGCTTTTGGGTGAAGGGGGCCTATGGGATTCTGTAGAGGGTGGATTGTGGATCCAAAATAAGGTCCCGAGGAGCCAGACGGCAGAGAGGACAACAATGAGCCCCCCGAGGGTCAGCAGGGCGGCAGTGATGGAGCAGCGAGGGCTCTGGGGCAGCAGAGGCAGCTCTGGGTCCCCCTCTTTTAGATCTGCGTCTGTCGACTCGTCATTATCCAATAATGCAGCTCCGGAGAAGTGAACCTCCTCGGGGGTGAGTCTCTCGTAGGACACCATTTCAAATGCCTGCAGATAAAGATAAGAGAAGGTGAGGTTTTTTATTTGTTGTTGTTTTTGTCTCGCTTTGACTTTTTATATCGAAGGTTTTAATTGGAATTACAGTAATTATAGCGTGACCGCAAAGCCTTAGTTGGGGACTAGTTTGTTTGGGTTTGATTCTAGAAGTTCGATTCTGTAAAGAGATTCTGTATTTTGTGTAGGAATCAATAAAACTGTTAATAGCTAAGAAAAGAGAAAGTGTTTGCTAAAACTGCGTCCTTATTATGCATTATGCATGTTATTCTGTGCATGTTATTCTGTGATCATTTCCTCATCCTTTACTTGTTTTAAACCTTAATGAGTTTCTTTCTATAGTTACAAACAAAATAAGATATTTTAAAATATGTTGGAAATGGGTAACCATTGACTTCCATAGTATGTAAAATATATTATTTTGTTTATTACCCTCAAGTAGCAAAATATTTTGAATACAAAAGAAGATATTTTGTAAAATGTTAGAAGTGGGTAACCATTGACTTCCACAGTATGCTATGGTAGACAATGGTTACTCGTTTCCAACATTTTTCAAAATATCTTCTTTTGTTTATTACCCTCAAGTGGTATGATATTTTCAATACATAAGAACAGATTTTGAAAAATGTTGAAATTGGGCAACCACTGTCTTCCAGAGCATACTATGGAAGACAATGGTTACCCATTTCCGTGATTACCCATGTCCAGCATTATCTAGATATTTTGAAAATATTTTGAAAAATTTTGAAAACGAGTTACCATTGACTTCCACTGTATGCTATGAAAGACAATGGTTACCCGTTTCCAACATTTTTCAAAATATCTTCTTTTGTATTCAAAATATCTTACTACTTGAGGGCAATATAAAAAGTAAACTTTTATTTTGGGGTGAACTATCCTTTTAAACTGAACAAACAATGGATAATGCTTTTAAACTCTTAATTAATTAATTAAATTATATATATATATATATACACAACAGTTCTTTCTGGTTCTGAAATCTAATTGGCTGATAGCCATGCAATATTCTGCAATATCAGAATTCCTACAGCCTCTTTACCCTTT